ATAATAGTTTGTCAGAGAATTTTACACGACCGAAGTTCTCAAAATGCTGCATCGAACGAGAATGAAGTTGAAACGTTATCTATGAACATGAGATAGCATAGCACGTAGTTTATGTATAATTTGGTATATCACATTTAAAATATATAAAGTTTCACGTAGGTATTCTATTACAACTCGTTTCATACCCTGTTATTTTTGTTGCATTTCATTGCGATAGAACACGATAGAACGCATACTTTCAAGCATTTAAATAAAAAGTTGTACACGATATTGTGTGATATACAGCATTATCTGTCATAAAATGAAAATTTTAGAAAATCATCGAGTGAATATTGTATTGTACTGATACTGAACAACACTTGTTTTTACTTTTTCTCTCTGATATGTATTACTATTTTTCATTCTTGCGGTACATGTTTTATCTTAAAAATCTTTTCTCTCATATAAATTCAACAAAGTTTCAAGATATAGGTGTAAAGTCCAATTTATTTTCTATGCTAGAGAATAATCATATAAAAATAATTTTCTTTTTCAATAAACTCAACCATGCTTATTTATAAATGAAAAAAAATAACTTTTTATAGCTGTAAAAATACTAATTTGCAACTTTTTATATTGTAACTCTAATTTATACGACGAAACAGAAGTCAGACTTATTCTACAAATTTTAAACTTTCGTTAGGTAATATAAAAACTCTGCAATACAAAACAAAAAGTTTATATCGTAAAGGAATATAAAGGTAACGAACACATCGGAAAAGTTACTCTGACAATTTTGTTTTGTATAAATTTCGGAATTTTATGCTTCTAGAAAGTTGTAAAAAAGAACTTGAGAAAAGAAAATAAATTGTTATCAAATTTTTATATTATATATAGATAAGAAAATAAATTGTTATAAATTTTAATTTATATTATATAAATATATAATATTTATATCAAAATTTTATGTTATAAAATTATTATAAACTGTTATCAAATTTTTCATGTTATACAAGTACCAAAGTACGATCTTTTAAACTTCTTCATTAAAAGAAAAAACCTACATGAATAAAATGCACGATATTTATATACTAGTTGTACCGATACTATCTAGTATCTTTATCAGTACAACAGATAAGATAGCAACACTTACTTTCTATTCATAGGATGAAACTTCTAAAAGTATGCAATATAAAATACTTGCTTTCTGTCATTCGATGTAGTTACTTTACCTTCGCAACTACTTAATACTATCCATAAACGGAACTTCAAGTGTAAGGTAAATGCGTTTAAATATTTATTTAAGACCGATCAACTACGCGAGCACAACGACATCAATGAAACATAACAGCGTTTTATTTCTTGCATATATGTTGATCAACCTTAAAGGTAAAAATCACGATTCGTGAGTTCTGATTAAAAGGGTGGGTCACGTTGCTAGAGAGAAACCTGAAATGCGAAAACCTGAAACACAACTTGCAGGAATAGACACGTATATAGATCAGGCTTCGTACTGAACACGCATTTCCCCTTTTCTCTGCATTTCCATTGTTACTTATCCTTCTATTCGCCCCTTTTTAGTCAACAAATATACGTCATCGTTCGTACACGCGGTGCATGCTTACGCGCGCGCAACCATCCCCAGATTCAATATACGTGCACGCATATACACGGTACGCATATCAAAGAACCCACGCGTATACAGGCTTTCACGTTTACGTATCGTCATTTATCTGTCAAAGTATACATACGTGCCCTTTCGCTGTCGTACGGTATCTTACGGTTTCTTTCACCCTTCTTTCCCTTCAAATCGCATTTCACATTTTGACACTTGCCCTCTACCCCTCTAGCATTACGAGCATGACTCACACTAGTGTACTTACTAACGCAGCTGTCTCATTCTTTCTCACGAGTTCGTTACTCACTTGCCAATAATCTCGCAGAGCTCGTAAACCTCGTCGAAGAGAACCTCGTCGTCCGCCATAGTAGCGGCGAGGAGGTCGAAGAAGTCGACCGAACGAGGAGGCTATACGCGCCAAAAGGCGCGTCCAAGCTATGCGAATTCGTAATAATTCGTAAGATGTTCCGATACGCGTCGTCTCTGTAGGCCTGGGTCGACGGTGCGCTGCTATGTTTCGTGTCGTGCCGTGTGGAATACGCGGCGGCGTGAACGTAGCCGCGTATCGTGGATTCACGGCCGCCTTCGTTCTCCCACCCTCTTCACGCGCTCTATCCCTTTCTTCCGACAGCGACCAATTCGTTCTTCTCTACGCGCACGTTACGCACATACACATATACATGTACACAACCGTGGATAATACACCCGTGTTAGCACGCCCGATTGTCGTCGCACTGGCACTCCGATCGGTACACGCGAGTACGCAACCCGTTTGCCTCTCAGTTATATTAGTAAACGATGGGTGAAATCTTGTAGGATGGCCAGGGTGTCGAATGTACACAACCGACACCGCCTTTAAGCCTTGCCTTACTGTCGCCGGCAAAGACAGCATACACAACTGACGACAATATACGTAATACGGATCGTGTCCTGACTCAACCACGAAGAAAACCGGATCTGGCCGAATCGGTTGTCCCAACGGAACAGTCGGTCGTGCAATTAACAAGACTGATCAACGAGAAGCGACCAGACAGACACCGATGTCACTGCACACACTTTCCTCGTCTGTCAAACGCTGGAGGAGTAGATTCACTCGCTCCGAAGCAAGACTGGTTGCATAAAACGCGGCGAGCGACTGCGCCGACCAACTACCTTTCCTCTGACCCCTCTGAACATTGTCCCGTATGGTGGGGCGGGCGTGGCGCCGCTTCGCGTGCAACCTTTGGCGCTTTAACACGCTGTATCTTTTGTTTCTCTCCCACGACTGTAAATTTGCCAACCGTATGTAACGTTACGATACAGCGTACCTACGATATTCATTGATGTTATATCTCACCATTCTCACTCGTGAAATACCGTCGTGCCCCGATGATAACTCCTGCAATTTATCAAAAGAATTTAAGTATCAATGTAATCAAATATTGATGGAATTTTTCTTTATAGTATCTTAATGTACTTGCCACGCTTAATATAAAAAGAATTTAGCAACGACAAAAGTGGACCTAGTATTTTACTTTATGAAACTACATGTTCTGTAATACCGACTATTCAAAAAACATAAGATTTTCTTCTCTCGTTTAATTTCCTTCTTCACCATTTAGAATATATAGCTACTCCATTTTACTTTTTTAAATCAATTATTTTTAATTAGGAAAAAATATTTCTTCTAGTCCAGGTTATACAATATATCTTCGTAAGAAATACGCACACTGATTTTAGATCAAATTCAGATTACAGCGCCATGAAGCGGTGAAATATGTAATGCGCTTATTAAGATTCTCAAACTTATCGATATTTCTTGCGATCAATCTATTAATATATACTGAAAAATATACAAGCAAATATTAGTTTTAAATGGCAAGTATACTAAAAAAAAAAAAAAAAAATTAGCAGACAAAGAGAAAAATTAATATCTCTTAAAATTGCATGTGCCTCATTCATTACGATTTAAAACAGTATTATATTAAAGAGTCCCATGATGCTTTGATTTTCCATAAATCAACCGAATCCTATTCGTCTGTGTTCGTCCCCCACCCTACCAAATTAATTAACGGCGCAAACCTGTTGCGCAAGGGTTAGTCCATTGTTGAAAATCGCGTTGTTAAGATGTGTCATCGCGGGTAACGGTTATTATCTACATAAACTTTTACCATGTAATTACTTCGTTTAATTAACGTACGTTTGTATTTACTAATTTATCGAATATGATTATTTGATATATTTAATGACAAATTAGTAATAAAATTATATTTTTATTCTTTGATCGTAATAAAATTATATTTTTATTCTTTGATCGTCACATTTACTGATAACTCGTATTATAAGCTCCAACAGCGGCATTTGACCGTTGATCATTATTTCCTTTTTATACATTTCGTTTTTTTTTAATACATCCATATTAAATTTTTGCTTCTTTTTTTTGTACAGATTGATCGAGTAAGATGGGTTGTTGTAAAATTCGAAAGGGTGCAACGGTAAGTAACAATATTAATAGCTTCTTATAGAATTATATAGTGATAGTTTAACATTAGACGTTTACTTTCTTTCTTTTACTGGATAACTAGTAATATTTATCTACATTTTAATAAATAATTTTCGAAAAAGATTATTACAACCGACAAATTTGAACGTTCTGCGCAGAATGTCTTTGCGCAGCTTCGTTTATCGTGTATTTTGTGTAGTCATAGGCGAGGTATACAATCGTCTGTGTAGTATATTCAAACGTTTTATACTTGAATAGACTTTTATTAAAGTTATTAAAGTTATTGTCTAAAACTTTTAAAAGCTTGCATTTTTACAACAAATTACAGTATCTCACATCTTAAAGTTTCTCACAACTTCCATGTTTTCTTATTCTCTGGAATAAATGTACTAATACCTCGCAGCTGAATGTGTAAGAAATTAAAAAATAGTATTGTTTTAAATTTTATCTCAATAATCACAGTCTGTGGTTACAATATTGACTAAGAATAAGGATTACAATATATGTCGTCGGTAAATATGAGTCGATAATATTGGAAACGACATTCAAATGATAAAGGATCTATAATTTCTGGGCATATTGATAAAAATATATTAGATCATTAACTAAAGTCAATAATTAAATGATGGAGCTATGATTACATTTTATCACGTTTTATTTAATTCATGTTGCATGTCTTAAGCCTCAAATATTTTATACTCCCTCTTTAGCGATAAAAATACATTTACATATGTGATACTTAATTAGTCAATGATATGTGATACT